CGGTTATAATGGGACCCAATGAGTCCAAAAAAATCGGTCGTTTCTCAGGAACAAAATGACTGTTGCATAGTGTTATAGCCCACTACTCCATGTGTCTATGCCCAAATCGGTTGCTGTCTGAAGCTGTAAATGTGTGTCTGAATGTCAGCCTACCTATTCCAAGTCAGTTGCCTTCAACGGCAAACCACTGGCTCCTCGTTTCCAGATTGAAGTGTCGATGTGTTAGCCTTATTGCTCCCCGAACATTCAGATATATATTGAAAGTCGGACAGCCGATCACAATAAATGCTCACCATTCCTAACTACATCCAAACTTAGCGCCACAGTAATTGCGTATGTCTGGTTCAATATCTAAAAATGTCACATTATGAATCAGTTTAGCAGCCATATCTCACGGAATAATTTCAGTTCCAATCTAGCCGCCTCATTCGGTGGTATTTTCCTTCAGCCGATTCCATTCACTATCAGCATGTCCTCATTTCAGCAGAAAATCTCCTTAGTTCAATAACGGCCAATCATGTTTGGACGCTCCGCTACTCCTACGATGTGACAAGTATAATTGGATAGATGGTTATGGCTCCTACCTATACCCTTCCAATTTTTGTGACGTATAAAATGACTAGATGCGATGAATGGGCAAATGTATTTGATCTGGCCAGTTTCTTTTGTTAGACTATTTTGCTTGTATGTGCGTACCTGACCTCATCTTTCGTTGTTTTCCAGTCATTAATAATTATCATAGAACACTTCTAATTGCTGGTCAATAAAGCAGAACTTGAGGAGGTGGCATGGGTCTCGGCTGTAAACGGAACCAACTATTAATTAAATCAGTCCAACTACACGAGCGTCACAAATTTGGAATCAAGTTCTGCACGAAGCTCGCAAGCGAGACGGCAATTTAGTCTCAGGTATTGCATAAGTCGGCCTCCTCACAAAGCTTATTTGATACAAGTTATTCGTCATGCATGGCCCTCGACATTAGCGATCTTTCGTCCTGATGCCTACATTATTCCCGATCCAAAGCAGAGTATCCTCACAAGCGCAAATACGTTCCATACTAGTTAGTCTTCAGTTTTGGCCGCTTATTACACAACCTTAAGAGATATAATCCGAATGCTTCTAGAGACCCAACAAAGCGGCGAAAATTAGCACAGGCAAGCTGCCTACTTCCTTAATTACCCATGTCTGGAGTCTTGATGAAATTAAACTGCAACACCAATGTGAAACACGCCGCTCCCGTGTGTAGACTGTACTTGTAGCTGTTTGAAGCTCGTTTTCCGTGTATGTGTTCAGTGTTGTAACTTGTATGTTGTGTTGTAGTGCCGGGCTGGCGCGTATGCCAGACGCGAATGTGACATGATCACGCTAGGTGTTTGAGTTCCAATTAGCTTACTGCTCACCTGGGATTTTATGTCAGTTTCAATGACATTCCTCGGTATGGGCTTCTTTATTGTTTTAGAATAATCAATAAAAGGGGTCTTGATTTGCAATCATGCATGCTTTTTCACATGCCCAACTTTATTCCTCCCTCCCTATCAAAAAGCTAACATTTCCATAGGCTAGCCAAGTATCTCGCAAAAGCTTATTTGCCAGTTCCACTGTGTTCAGCGAAAGAAACATCCTTTTCTGGGCAGAGGAGTCAGATCAAGGTTAGATTGTAGAGTCGCGGAGGAGACAGAGACTGGGAGGTTCCGAGATGACCCCGCCTGCCGGTGCCCCTGGTCCACCATGAAACTGGGTCGAACACGGCGGTAAAAACGTCGACCTCGTGTCTGGCCGATGACCGTTCAGATACGGTGAGCCGCCGGCGAAACTCGGTCAGAGGACCGCCGCCGACGGGTCAGAGAGTGAGGAGGCGGGCCGGGCTGTCACCGGCATCGCGCCTCTATCCGTCGACCGGCCCCCTCCCCCCCCCCCCCCACCGGGCCTTATTGGAACATTGACCCAGAATGGAGATAGCCGCGAGGGGAGGAGCGGGTTAGAACTAAACGATAAATATTTGCAACAGCAACAGCTCCCGATGGTGACAATTGAGTGATGTCAGGTCGAGTTGACGTAAATGAGATCATACAATGAGGCCTCATAATAAGTAAGAAGTAGGTATGGCTAAATATTTTCCTGTATCCCTCTAAAGATGAAATTCGCAAACTTCACGCTCACTGTCATGTGATTCCATTATGGCTAAACGAAACCCAAATCAAATCGTAGAGATAACCGTTCGTCCAAAAAATAAATAGTGAGCTATTGAGTGTGGACGTTAGACAGCGTATAGCGAGGCATAGAGCATTGCATTTATTGACGCTTATTAAGCAGTGCGCTGCATCTTATACCATGGTATAAGATCTCTGAAATGGTAGCTGACTGATCCTTAACACGCGCACCGACGGGGGGGGGGCGGATATCCGCCCCCCCCCTGAGGTTTTTCGCGGATGCCGCGAAATTTGTTACGACTATTCTCTCATCAATTTTACACATGGTGTGCAAGTTTGAACCTCCTAACTTTTAAGGTCAGGTCACCAGGTCACTTTGAATGACCCAACCTCAAGTCACTTTTTTGCAACTTTGTCACCGTGCCAGAGCTACAGTAGATGTCGGAGGCCTTTGAAAGTCGCAGGATGTTGTTAGGTCATTAGTAGCTACAATTTGTATATCTCGGAATTTTGATGTCGGTGACCTAAGGTCAGGTCAATTTCGCGACCTCCCCATTATAAGTCAATGGGGGAAAAATCAACTCCCTGTTTTTACCACTAAAACGGGTCGGAATGGCCCCATATACCATACATGACTTCATATACGATCAACCTTCACTACCTTGAGGTCTGTTTTGCTGTTGGGCAGCTGTAAGGTCATGTGACGTCATCAAAGGTCACCAAAGGTTTTTTTGCCAATAACTCCGTACAGGAACAAGATACAGCCGCGCGGCTGGTCTCATTGTGTTCAGCTCGTCAAGACGCATCGAATGATATACATGATGACCGCGAGGTCACGTGACCTGAGGTCAACCTTTGAACTTGACCTTTCGAGGTCAACATATATATCATTCGATGCGGATTGACGAGAGGATCACGATGATGCCCTTAGTTTGTTCCTATCTTGACTAATTCGAAAGTTATTCGAGAAAAACTCTCTTCATATCTAGCGCCGCCATTTTGACTTTTTCGACCCCTGTGACGTCATCTTTGACCTGACCTGAAAATGACCTTAGTAAAAATTGCAGACCTTGTCCGTGCGTATCCGATGCCGTTTACCGTTTGTCGCTATCTTGCTTCGTTCTCGAGATCTCAGGGGGGGCGGTCATCCGCCCGCCCCCCCGTCGCGTCGGTGCGAAGTTGGCGCAGACCCCCGTCGGTGCGCGGGTTAATTCGACCGATGTCTGATTTTTACATGCTATCATAGACATGATGCATCCATCTCGAATTTATAATGTTTCTTTCTCTTGCAAGCATGTCTTTGACCTGCAACCAGTTTCCCTTAAACGTAACCGAGGATCCTTTCCTATCAAGGCGTTGTACAATCTGACAAAGCTTTGCAATATAAATCTGCAACCTAATGGAACAGCTAAGGGTGGCTCACGACCTTCACGAACGTTCGCAGAGCTGATAGACGTGCACGTAATTCACTGCCGGTGGTCGACATCTGAAGCCAGACAAGTGAATGATCTGTCTCGCCCGCACACGTCGGGCTGAATGGCTGCACCAGTGACATTCCTAATCAACGCCATTGAATCATATTCTTCGCACTAAAATAGCCATGCAAAATTTGTGTCATTTTCGCTCGTGATAGAACCGATATTAAAACATACCTATCATTATAAGTGATGATCATACGCATCTCTTTGAAATGCCAACCTACACATTTCGTTCATAGTTATGGAAGGAAGCAAGAATAATGTACGATCTTTTTTACTAGTTCAGTACTTAACCGCCATTTTAAGTTTTGCGGTCGGATGTGAGGTTGCTCAACGCAAAATGATATTTTAGGTGAAATGAACAACAAATGAGAGTGATCTGCGTACCACAGCATTGTGGTGAAGTAATGCAATCCCTTGACATTAGCTGTTGTTACTTCGCTGTTGTGTAGCGACTACTCAACATCAATAGGTACCTAAATTAAATACATGGACATTATCGATCAATCTATAAATAAAGATTAGCGTCACTTTAGAACCTAACCCATATGAGTGCCATGAAATTACCAGAAATGTTCTGACATTTAAAGCGTCTCAGGGAGAGACATGTCATATCTAGGGGCCATGTTTTGTACCCAATTCATCATGGCCGTGGCATTGACAAACGATGTGGCAGTGGGCGCCATGTCGCTGCGACTCTTTATTGATGTTGAGGCGATGACATTGTTTGCGTCACAAGGCCCTGTTGATGGATGCGAGAAGTCGGCTTCGGGAAAGGACCACAAACTGTAGACATCAGCTAACGATGTTATATACTGAGAAGGATGCTTACACACAGAACAGCGTAGTTATATATTTTACGTGAGAACAAATGAGAATTACATGTAGCTATTCGTGAATACTTTAAACCACACTATGCCGATAAATTCCTAACCCGTCTAATTTCAATAAAAATACGATCCGCCTTTTTCATGCACCGCAGTACCTATGACTCTGTTCCACTTAGTTTTCAGAATGCAAACTTCATTCCCAGCTCACCAAAATTCAGCTCAGGTGTGACCACCTCTAAGTTTAAACTTGCTGATCATTGTTCAGTAACATCTGACTTTCACTTCCCGGTCCTCCCAAATAAATACCTTTGCTGGTGTGACCTCTTCTGACCGTCGAGTGACCCATGCCAACTTTCGCTTCCCGTCTATATGACATTCGATGACCTCCGTTCCGCAAATTGACTTCCTCTGATCCCGTTGACCTCTGCCGCCCTTCAGGTCATCTTTTCACCGCCCGCGAGCTTGACGTCCTCTGACCTCCACTGCCCCCTGCTGCCGCCAGGTGACCCCGTCTGACCTCCGCTGACCCCTGCTGCCCCCAGGTGACCGCGGCAGCGACAGTGACGCCAGTGTGCGCGTGCCCAGCCCGTGCCAGGCGTTCGTCGAGGACGACACGCTGCCCGAGCCGCGCTCGTCGGCGGCCGCTCAGACGGGTCTGGTACTCGTGGTGCCGACGCTGGTGAACGGCTTCGGCGCCGCGCCCGGCCTGAACCCGGCCTGACCGGGCCGGCCCGGTGTCCGCGCAATACTCCCCGCTGTGAGCGGCCCGACCGCGCCATTCCAGCCGACCGCACGCGACTCCACTAGCGGCCCAGTGATATGCCACCACGTATTTTCTGCAGATGTTTTGCAAGTGCGTTTCTTCATAAGCGACGTTAGTGAGCACAGTAGCTGGCGCCGCGGCGCCACCCCCGCCGCCGCACATGTTTTTATACGGGACAGAGAGAGTGACTGATTGTGCGCGCCGCCCGCGACCGGCGCCGCCCTGAGAGCGTCGTTACTCGTTACATAATCAAAATTAGACGGTAGTACAATATACCGCGGCGGCGCGCGCCCAGTGCATTGTGATATTTCTGGGGAGTGTGTCTGGGGGGATATTTATTTGAAAGTGTGTACGACTGCGTATCTCTCTGGTCCTCTGTGCTGCGGCCGTCTCTGCGGCGGCCGCTGACGGTCGGTCGGGCGGCCGGCCGGTCCTGGCGGCGGCGGCTGACCCGCAGAGCCCCGGGCGCCGTCCCACGCCGGGGCCGGCCGCTCCCCCGCCGGCGCGCTGCTCCGCTGCTCCCATCCGGACACTGCTGACGCTCCTCCTCCGCAACCGCCGACGCCGCGGCGTTTTATCACAATCTACAATACACGGTGAGACAAGCTCGCTCGCTGTCTGAGATGGTCCGCTACGGGGAAGGTAGGCGAAGAGCGAGAGGTGCACCACAGGAATATATGAAGGTATGTGGTACTTATTAGAGGCCGCGACATGATCAATCTCAGGGCTTCGTGCGCTTGTCTCGTTCTGACCTGAACGTCACAACAGATCGTCCAATATTACAAATCCCGAGAAAGGCCCGTTTATACCAACCAGTGCCCGCTCGCCACCACTCAACAGCCCCCTCGCCAACTGTAGGCATCTGCCACACCAACACTGAGCAGATTGGGCGCGCTTTTCTCCATGGTTCCAGCTTTCCGCGCCAGTTCAGAGGCGCGCCATATGGCCTGGTTCCCGCCAAATTACGTCACTTATCAGCAAGTTTTGGTGTCAAGCGGTCGTTCCGACACTTTTGGAGCCGGTAGTTGCCAAAGGCAGGCGCCGGCCGGAGGCGAGAGGCCACCTAAACAGTGAGGAAGTCTAGGGAGCTAGCAAGTGAGATACACAACACATGACCTTCCCAGCATCAGCTCCATTCGAGTGCAGACGGTAGCACGACCTTTCCGGAATGTCAGGAGCGAAGTCGATACATTTAGTGTTCTAGAACTATCAATAAATAATATCTTCTCCAGACGTCATTTGTATTTGTGTCGGATGTCTTAAGAAAACGCATCGAAGTAAGGACATACGACGGAGTTCACACCAATGCCTACATTATTCGCGAGTCCATTCTGGTGTTCCCCTTTCAGCCTCAACAAAACACACCTATCTATGCAAACACCAGTCGAACATCAGACACCTTTCACGGCGTGGACAGGAGCGTGACCTGTCATAGTCCCACAGGATTTCATCGACGCCTGCACCAACACGAGTAAGCACATCCCATCAGCCGCAAGCACTCGTTCTCTCCAGATACCGCGGTTCTCAGTAGGAGGACCCTCACCGCCCATCACAGCACTTGGGCTGGCGCCGCCAGACATATCGCGACCACCATCGGAGTGTGTTCGGATACATTACTTTCTGTCCAGCAAGTGTACGGCGACAGCAATATCAAAGCGGTTACACTGCGGCGTCGGACACCGAGCACGAATCGAAGTGTTTCATATCGACGGCGGCAGAACACATTGTGCGTTGGATCGGGCAAGCGTCGCGGGCACAACGCGAAGTTTCCGGCGGGCACAGCGGACATGGTTGGACACATGCGACGGCCCTGAACGCGGAGTGGAATCGCCAGTTATTACCGAACGGAGCAGACCGACGCAGGACACACAGCGAGAAAAAAATCAGGCAAGCGGGCGATGACAGAAAACTGAGGCACGCACGGAACTTTGAACGACGTCGCCGGTGGTCACCGAACAGCCGTTTAGCGCGGTTAGTGACCCGGATCCGACCCGACGCTGTTAGCGTTGCGTACACATCAGATCACCTCAGCAGCCGCCACGAACTCAGAATCGACACAACACAGATGCCCCGACCACAGGGGCAACTCAGTCCGCATCGACACAACAAACGCTCCGGCGACGGAGTCAAGTCCTCAATGTCGCCACGGCTCGGAGCGGAACGCACAACACAGAGCACGGCCTGGCTCGCCGTGCGGGACTAGGGTGAGGGGTCGCTGCGCTCTGTGCGTGGCCGTTTCCTCGCCGATGCGCCCTCCTCGCCATCAGTGGTGCCGGCACCGCGCTTCTTGCTCTGATCTTGCAGCTGTGGAGGGTAGAGGAGAGGGACGATTAGCTACTGTGATTGTTGTTTGGCTGGGCAACTTTTTCTATTACGGCCAGTCATGGTAAGCACCAAGGTAATGGATAAGGAAACATGGCAACGCCCTAGTCTTGCCGTTCGTCCGTCAGATCAGGCTTACAGTCCCGAACCATGGTAGGCTCACGGCATGTTTGCAGCATGAATCATTATGGTCGAATCAAAGTCACGAAAGGTCTGAGTCAAGTTCTGTATCCCAACCGAGGTACGGCTGAGAGGTTACAAGCACTCAGGTGTCACGGATAGCTCACGGTCTGTTCAAAGGTCACACTGGGGGGTCATCGCTGGGCCTCAGCTCGGCCAGTGACCGGCTGCAAACACCACCTCGCCACCAGCACAGTTCGGCCGGCTCCGAGCCACCATCAATCATTAAAACGCTGCCAGGAACGCAGCGACCCCCGGGGGATTTCGGAGAAATTCTGTCAAGATATCTATTATCTTGACGACTAATATTAATGGTTTCTCGACTCAAAGTCGCCCGCGAGACAGAGAAGAAATTCGTGGGGCACGCAAAGCCTGGAAATAGTCGGCTTAGCGCTGCGCCCGGGCCCGCAGTGTACTGACAGTCCACACGTGCTGGGGGGAGGCGGAATAATTCATATGACCCGATACGGCATCAGACCGAGACGACCGTCCCACAACGTTATCAGACCAGATCCATGCAGAGCAGCGAACAAATGTGTCGCTATCCAATGCTAGAAGTTGTAACGGGCTGCGGGGAATATCAACGGCCAGTCTCTGACGCAAGCTGCTCAGCAACTGATACCATGACAGACGGTTGTCCACGATGTCAGGACACTATGCATCTGCTTTGAAAGCTACGATTGATTGATTAAATATTTACACGCCAGCTAATGCGTTCTCGTCGGCTAATGCACATCGTATTATGTATCGCATACCATAAATGTATTGTCAGAAGTCATCGGCTCAAACAATCTAGTTGTCAAAAAAGAACGATCTGAAAACATTTATTTAGCCCAATGTCTTGTGCTAAGATCACACTCACCTTCTTTTCCCAGCGCCAGTGCAGGTAGCGGAGCAGAATGTTGGTCTTTTCCGTAACAATCACTGAAAAAGGCGGCATCATGTTAGCTAGAGTCACGACCACCGTTGGGCCCACAGTGACATCCTAACATGTGGGACAAACGAACCACAAAGTAACGTTGGCAAGGTAGCGTAATGGATTCACCCGAGCTTAACTCCTGTCTAAGTAGTCACTCTACCCACGGCTTCCGGTACAGCGGTGAACACAGCACACAGAGCGCAGGAAGGTGTCAGACTCGGCAAATCCGTCCCGGGTTGCAACTGCACCATAACAACACGGGCTTATCGTCTTTCACGGTACACTGGTCGACACCGGACAGACAGCCGGGCGTGTCGGCGTCTGGAAATATAATCGACTTCGGAGCCGAATCACGAGCAAAAACCGTGGTATTTCCTCCCGACAACACAGGATGAGCGCCGTGCCGGAAAGCCGTGGCCGCGGCGGGAGTAGAAGTCGTGCGGCACAGCATCAGTTCAGGCGCGCACTACTGCTGCCATCTAGCGACGGGAGTTGGAAGCACCGACGGGAGTAGCACGGGTGCCGGCGCCGGTTCGTTGCTCTGCGCGTGACGGACTGGAGGGACCGAGTGTGCCTTATTTTAATAAGTATCGATCTGGTAGAATTACAACATATGTTAAAACGTTTGCATGGGTTCAAGCAATCCTTTTATTTGAGCGCATACGCTTAACTGGTAAATCCATAATCAAGTTAAGAAGGATTAACAAGTACAAGTACAATTGATCATTGTAACTGTGTTGTGTACCATTGCGTAATTGCATATCTGATTCGCCTTTAGCACCGGCGATCTTTCATTCAGGCAAGATATAAATGACGTCTAGCAAATCGGATTTACAGCACAATCGCTCGTTTGATGAGCCATAATTCATAGGAATGTATTCAATTAGATACATAAGGTTGAAACAATCAACATAAGCCGCTTGTTTAGTCATAGACTACTCATAGGTCATAGGTTAAATGTTAATTGGATGAATAGAATGGAGCAACCATTCATACACACAAATAGCAATGCAGCTTTTGTTGTGCATGACATTGGATAAAGACAACGTAGAGGGAAATATATCGTGACTTAAACCGTCAAGGTTAATCCAACACATCACTGACAGTATCAAGTAGACAATATTGAGCGACCGTTTTTTTTTTTTCAAGATAGCCATCTTATCTGTCATTAGCTAGTTCAGTAGCATTATTGGAGGCATACGGAGGCATAACATTATACAACGGCATCCAAAACACAGAAGACCCCATTAGCACGCGGTTTAACGCGCATGCCATCCCCGTTAACGACCCCAACAGGTCGGCTCCACACTGATTTCCCGCTGCTCGCCGCCGGAGCGCCGCGCACGGCCGAGACGGGGCCCCGGGGAGCACGGCCGGCCGAGGTCAGCTGTGATTTGCGTCACCGCAGAGAGGCTTTATTGGACACCAATCCAGTTAGCGGCGGGCGGCAATCAGCGCCTCTCCGGCCCGCGGCCGCCGGCCGGCACACAGGACGACTGGTCCAACGGGGCGGGCGGGTAGGTCAGTTTGGTCCAACGGGGCGGGATAGTAGGACAGTTTGGTCCAACTGGGCTGCCGGCCCACCGGCCGGGACGACTGGTCCAACGGGGCGGGAGGATAGGTCAGTTTGGTCCAACTGCGCGGGTGGATAGGCTCGTTTGGACCAACTGGATTTACCGTCCGGTCCGTCTGGTCCACCGGGGCAAGCTGCCCAGTCCGGTCCAACTGGGTAGACGACTGGGCCCGTCCGGTCCAACTGGGCCCACCATTCGGTTCGTCTGGTAACCCTGGACAGGCGGCTGGGTCAGTTTGGACCAACTGAGCAGACGGTTAGGTTCGTTTGGTTCGCACCGTTTGGTCTTACTGGGTCCGTCTGTTTTAACTGAGCAATGAGCATTGAGCAAGCTGCTCGGTGCCTTCAGGCGATCTGAGCCTTCTACACGGTTTGCCCCGTCCGGCGGACCGGTCGTTGCGTCCGATCTAAAACTGACATGAACACTCAGTTTGGGCTGGTCCAAATGAACCGTGCACTGAGTCGATCTGACTTTTCAATCAGTCGATACCAAAGTTCTTAATCTGTCCGATCCAGCTTTAGCCATGAAATACCAACGGCAGTGCAAGTCTCCTGACACACCCATTTAAATCAGTCTCATCAACATACAGGGTTCGCCAATCAGCATTTAGGTCCAAGCTGAACTATTATACATCCATACTGCATAGCCTTACAAATTTGATTGGAAGCGTTGCAGCCGATACGAACATCAAGTCCTCGGTCGGTACAACCATCACAGCTCATCGATAACGCTCAATAATGATTGCAGTTGTTGCAGCCAGTTTAAACTGCACGTGGTCGTTATACGTTACACGTTTCCATTACGTTACGTTACGTTACACGAGCGCAAGCTACCACCATCAGCCTTGACTGTCCACAGTCTCTACAAATATCGTGGGCAGCAACGGGATGGCCGGTGGACCGGCCGGCCGGCGGCCCATCTGCATGATATTGAACCCGGCGCCAGCCGCCGATCACCCAAACTTGGCGCTGCCACGGCCTTCCAGCCAACAGGCGACCGCATTGGGCCGCGATATTGAAAAACACCGGCAGCGTCCCGCCAACTGAGCGCCAGAAAAATGGGATATATTGGTCAGATTAGGATCGTATCAGTCAACGCACCTGCTTCTGATGTGAGCAGCGGCCTTGGCAACGATTCCACTAGCAGCGATGAAATAATAAATGAATAAATAAATGAGGAAATGAATACAGAAATAGGAGAATGAACCCATGAATCAAGATGACCGGCTAGATTCAGCGCAGCCTTTGCCAAACAGCGCTTTACGAATACCAAAGTCTGTCAGCATTACGCACATGAAATGAGGCTGTTTAACTTCAACCAATTTCAATGTCCAACATGAAACCATGAGCAACGAGCATGTTTCAAGTCCATAAGACTCGAGCCAATGACATTTCCTGTCGGATAAGCAGTTCAAGAAATTTTTAACAAGACTTGTGACATCACTAAATAAGAATAAGAAATCCGCTTAGTCCCATAACAATAGTTCTGATTTTGCCATAAAATCAATTACGCAGTGCTTCTACGAAGACCAAACGCTATTGAATAAATGAGAGGGGATGATACTGAAACATGAAGGGAGAAAAAAAAACATTACGTGATCCAGCTCAATGACACCAGACGCTATTGAGATAGAAGCATAACTCTGCTCGAGTTGCTGGACAGCCTCACAATTGCTAGCACTATAAGATGTGAAATGTGAATGTAAATGTGAACCTAGCAGAAAGGTGAACGACTTTATAACTTATTCGCGATGTCGTCCACGAGGCGTAATGATGAGCCCTAAATTTCGAACACTTGTGCGCACGCGTCCAAGACCTCGTCCCTCGGTTACCTGAGCCGTCTCGGCCACAAACCCCACCCAGCGCCGGTACCCCGCAGAGGTCAGCTCGGTCATTTCCTATGCATCTATCGACCACGGGCGGCCGCCCTGCCCTCCGGATAAGGGTCACATCAGCCGGCCCCGATCATGTTCGTGCCGTAGCGGCGTGGGCGGGCATCCATAACCGGGCAGATCGGCCCTCCGGCCGCCGATCGAGCCGCAATGAGGCGACGCGCCGCCGACGGACGACACATGAACGACGAGCGTGTCCGACGGCCCGGGCTGATCATGACCTGACGCAATCTGACCACACCCGGACCGTAACGTGACCTAGTTTTATCACAGGCCACGACCCGACTACGGGTTACGAGCGGCCCACACTCCCATTGCGAGCTGACCACGACCTCGTCGTGACATGGCCGCGACTTGATCAAAACCTGACCGCCACCTGACCACAATGTGACCATGACATGACAACTTGACCACAGGCTGACCGCAAAGGCTATTCACAACTTGAAGAACTTCAAGCTATGACTGTGACCTGACATCTTGACTACGGCCTGACCGAATTCTGCCTATGGATTAGGCAGACCTGACCCCGACCAGACTACGACCTGAGATAGTACCCAGATCGGCGCGCTAGGCGACCCACCAGGCCCGCCCCACCAGCACGTGATGTAATTCGCCGGAGGCCTGCGGCGAATGACCGGAGACTGACTATTACAATGCGCCGTTAACGCCCCGAGAATGGCCTCGTCTCATCATCCAACCACTTACGCTATCAGCGCGTGTAGTGGCACAACGCACCGGAGATTGACTGGGCCGCAAAACGCTCGCGCGCTGACTTTTGATGAGATTTCTCCAGAGTGAAGTTTTCAGGACATTGCTTGAATAGCCAGCGATTCACTAAGGCGGCTGAAGCAAATCTTCATCTTTTCAGAATCATCACAATAACCTCACCGTACCATTGTACCACTCGAAACATCAATATGAAAAGCAAGATAGATAACATGAACATATTATTATTTATTTCTATAATTCGCGTAGCTTTGATCAGAAATAAATTGTCACATTCGCAAAAAAAAGACAAGTGCGCCGGATACTTATTTCAATAATATTCCTGCCTCGCATCCGTTTAGAAGTGAGACAGAGGTGGCAGGACATATCCCGTGCCCTCTATGGCGGCGTTCGACCAGACAACCGCGGCATGGGAGGCATCAGGAACGCAATGAATGGCTCGTGCCGCGAGCCAACGGTATCTCGATCTGAAGTCAAGCCAGCGTAACCGCCACGGTCCACTGAGAAAACAACAAACAACAAAAACTCCTCCAATAACCCACAGCCATCGGTTCAACTTCCAAGGGAATTTATACGAAATAAAAAAGGAAAATAAGCAGAAACAATAAGCACAGCATTTCTGGATAAACATATTCTCGGTTCACAACTATCTTCGTACTTATGACTTGTTTGTCACGCAGATAGGTGCTATTGCTTGTGTAAGCAGCTCATAAAAGTTAATAGATGATAACGCGGAACATGTGATCGACGAACTGAGTAGTGAGTACACGCTCCGGCACGAGTCTCAATAACGACCCCCCCCCCCCCCAATATTCACTGAGTGTCTGCAGATTCCGGGCCACGCCGTATCATCATCCAGCCGATCGTTGTGGCCGGCCGCTGCTGACGGCCCATCAGACGCCGGTCGACCTCCCCAGAGGCCGCGGCCCGGCCGAGCGCTCGTTGGTAGGCCGTGAATTCACGCCCAGCGGCGCCTTCAGTGCCCGTGGTCGACAGCTGAGGGCGCATACCGTAGGAGCTGCGGGATCGTGAACGGCCGGCGGGACATCAGCGCCGCCGAAACCGCCTCAGGGGCGGATATCAGCCTGGTGATACCGGGTACATAATGATGAAGACCGAAAACTGTCGCGCAACGTTCAGAAAGTACACGGTGAACTGCTATTTAGAAAGACCGAGTCTGTCGGCTTGATGTGATACCTTGCCTGTGATGATATGCACACTTCTTCATTACAAATATGAGGTCTGCGTTGAAGTTGGTTTCATGGAGTTGCTAGCCTAATTGACAGTGCAACGACACGGAAAGCGCACGGGAAAAGGAGATAGCACAACCCCCTTACATTACCGTCGACTGCAACCTTTCCGAGTTACAGTCCGGTATCCTCGGCTGTTTTTCCTCAACGTCTTACCCAGTATCCAACTAATAGTCAAAACGGGGTGAAACATCACACAGTGCTCACATGTATCGTCTCCAACGCTGAGGCATCAGCAGTCAACACCGAGATAGCTATTCTGCTCGTTCGCGGTGCTCTTCATATGAGGAGAGAAATGGCTGCTGTTGGCAGGTATCAGACTTTGATTATAACCAAACTTTATCAGCACAGCGTCTAGCGTGTTGCGAACTCGTAACAACAAGGGCGGCATGCTTAAAAACTTGTTAATCACAGTCAAACTTTGCACAAATCTCCACTAGTAGTGCGTCGCTCTTGAAAAGTAAGCAAAACCTTGATAAGAAATCCAGGGCATCATTATCGTCGTAAAGAGGGCTCGCTACCAAGCACAATGTCTTTGTCCTATCCAAAACTTGTAAAATGTCCCTCTGAGTTGCATTACATTCCTGATCTGGGAGTAATCCGACATCAAGTCTACATAGAATCAGCGATGAAACGTTTATCATTTTCCTTTTAACCCTCGCCGGACCTATTGGTTTTCTACATACGCGCCGGCCGAGGGGGGGGGGGCGGGTACGACCCCCCCTCGCCGTTTCGCCCCTGGTGGAGCTAGCGCGTCGCGGAAAAAACGAGCGTGTGCGCCGTTACGAGACGCAGAGATTGGTACCCGATTTTAAGGTCCTAGGTCATCCGGTGACCTCTGAGGTCAGGTCAAGTGCCTCAGGGTACGGTTCAGTTTTTGGTGAATAACTTCGCAAAAAACGGCCGCAGAGCGCCGATTTTGGCAGCATCGTGTTCGCCTCGCTCAGGCGCGTCGAATGATATACTTTTTGTCCGGGTCAGGTCAACTTGGGGTGTTGACCTCAGGTCAAGGTCAGGTCAGCACCCCCAGGTCACGAAGTTGGTTGAAAGAGGTCATGTCGCATATCATTCGATTCGGCAGGCCTTCCTGAGTCCATTGGTGCCTTTCCCGACTCGCTAGCTCAATTTGATCAAGAGTTATTGACGAAAAACTAATTTGACCTCGATGACGTCATAAATGACGTCACGCAAGGTCAACATTGCAAAAGTGACGCATCTAACCTTGCAAGGAGTGCATCAAATCACGATTCTGTGTGCTTGAGATAGTTGGAGATCGTTCCCGGCGCCAGAATAGCAGTTTGAATTTTTCCCCATTGACTTATAATGGTGAGGTCACGAAAATGACCTGACCTCATATGACCTTTAGGAAAAATCCGAGATATACAAGTTGTGGGACACATAATGGATACTAGATCCTGCAAGTTTCATTTCCCTGTGACATCTCCTCTGGCAGTGAGGGCGTTGCGAAGTTGCGACATCTGAAGACCGTGCAGAGGTTCACTTATGACGTCATAGGTCAGTGACCTGACCTGACCCAAAAATGCGGTTGGTGTCAAAAGATCCGGCTTGGATCAAAGGTCAGGTATGCTAAGTTTCAGCTCTCTATCGCCAGCGTGTTCGGAGCTATCGCGAAAAAACCCTATGGGGGGGCGGCACCCGCCCCCCCCCCCTCGGCCGGCGAGGGTTAAGGTACCAGAAGAAAATATTTCTAACATCACTGTCAACCATTACAAAAGAAACCGATTACATTTTGTTGCGAGTCACATTACATTTGTACTATTGATAAGTCAAGAATAAGCCGCTCTTTTAGCCGAAAGCACCAACATTCAACGCCCACCTACTCCATGTAGCAGGGGTGTCGTTTTCCGAAAATGATTGGTAGGGCCCAAAGGCGGCGGCCGGCCACATGTGGCGGGGCTTAAAAGGTAGGGTACCCCCAAATCTGCCTTTCTCATCGGACTTCGGCCACTTATTTTTTTCGCCCTGGTCACTGACAAGACAAACCAAAATCTAAAAAAAAAGAAAGAAAACATTTTGGAAGTCTAGGTCCTCAACGAGCTCCATGCACAAAACGTGCAGTTAAATAGGCAGTTATAATAGTGTCGGAGGAATGCACGCCATTCTGAAAGAGGCCCACGCCGACTTAAAAGCACGGCTGTGCTGAAAGGGGCCAGGGACGGTTTTGATGGCCCAAGCCGAATGAAAAAGACGGCTACGGGGCCAGGAACGGCTTTGAAGGCCCACGCCAATCGCAGGGTTCGACAGCTAACGAGGTCTCGAAACACCACGATAGTTAGAAAGACCTGCTTGCCAAAATAAAAGGATGACGGTACAAGCCGGCATTCAGAAAGTTACATGCCCGACCATGAAGAAGCAGAGAGATACGTCATCGACTTATTAGACAAAAAAGTTCATTTATTCAAATAACCACCGCTAAGACAAACACATTTCGCGCAGCGCTTCGGCCTTCGGGAGAGCCCTCAAAGTCTCCATAATCAATTGGGTTTTGGACCCATCCCACGTCCAAGACGGCTGCTTTAGTCTCCCTGCAGTCAGCGAAGCTGCCACTGCTAATTTCCTTATGTTGGGGAAGAGGTGGCAACCAGAGGGTGCAGGGTTCGGAAAAAAGTGGATGCGACAACAACTCGAAGCCACATTTCATCACTTAACTTATCGTCACCCCGCGCAAGTACGCAGGTGCGTGGCCGTGGATCAGTTGCACACTTTATGTCAGCTTCCCTATAGCCTCTCCTCGATGTCTATCGAATGGACGCACATCATCAATTGTGCGTCCCTGTTTTAGAAAGTTGACAAGCATAGCCCCGTCGGCATACCAAAATGTAACCACTGGGGCATTCCACGTCAAATCGAACAAAAATCGGCTGTTTTGCACCTTACCATCAGCGATTTCATTATAAATTTGTGAGCGAGTTCCTGTGTGGCACCGGACATTACATTGATGTTTTTTTGCACATTCTGACCACAGGTCTTCTAAATAAAGGGCATCCAATTTTTACAAAATGTTGCATCTTTATATTTTTGAGCGACCATAACTTTGGTTGTACTTGTTTGATTTGAATGAAATAAACCTTACTGTTTAGGTAATTTCTTAAGCATTTGTTTAGAATTGCACCTACTTAAATATATGACCTTGAAATTTGCTTAACTCTGTTCTTAAGCACAAATATTGAAATAGCAAAAAACACGTCACCTTCGATTTGGCTCATTTTCATATATTTTATTGCCTACCATATTCTTAACAACCTGTAAAAAAATTGGAGTGGGCCATTCATAAGTTTTGAAGAAAATTGCACATATGCAAACGTATGTTAGCACGCGCAGTGGAGGGGGAAGAGCGAATTTCGCCCATCCCTCCTGTTTTTCGCCAAAATCTCATAAGATTAATGCGAAATTAATTATGGCTACCTGTCAAGAATTGAATTGGACATCTCATCGTGCAAGCAATAAGAAAATCGGTTCACAACTGTTCTAGTAATAGCGGTGTAAAGTGAACATCCTGTCGCCGCAGCGACGCGGCGACTCGGCAGCCGGCGCCGACCGCTACGCGCCGCCTGAATTGTAGACTGTGCCGGGACGGAACGGAACGGTTCCGTCTTTACATGGCGCTCCCTACCGCTGATTACGTTCGATTCGCGTCAAATTTTGTGAGAAGACTAAGAAATGTACAGGCAATCTTATGGTAAAAGAATTTTGAAAATCGGTTGGTAAACAATTGAAATATGAACGTGTAAACACAAAATTGTGATTGCTGCGTTTCCCGCATCGGCCGAGCCCGCCTCAGCCGGCGACATGTTACTCTTAGCAGGCCTCTAACTGCCATATTTATTATTGGATTAACTAGAAATTCCCCATACATGCTAAAAAATGTATGTTCTTTCGTATAGTGAAGATCAAAAGACGTGAAGATATCGTTGCGTGATAATGTTTTCGTTGAATTTACTTAATGATGCATTTCCACACGGCTCAAAATTCACCGCAAAATACCGTTTGCCTGAGACACTTTTACTATGGAACGTGAATGCTTGACTACGATAACTATGCATTTCCGTTCTCGCAGAGTTTGGGATATCACTAATCAGCAATCATTCATTTCAGGAAGTGTACACAAGCAAGCATGTCTTGACTCTGTCTTTCAAGGTCACGCGCGGTTGCGTGATGTTGATGCATGAAAACGGCGTTTGCCGCGAAAGTTATGAATGGTCCACTCCAATTTTTTCACAGATGGTTAGGAACATTGTGACGGACATAATATGTAAAAATTACCCAAATCGAAAGTGACGTGTTTTTTGCTATTTAAATTTTTCTGTTTTAATTCAAGGTCAAATGCATTTCAAGGTCACTTCAATTTAATTTTATAATTAAAAATCAAAGCCTTATCAATTGCCTATAAGACCCTGTTAATATCATTTTGATACCAGAAAAGGAACCAGAGTTATAGCCATTTAAAAAACTGATGTGTGGCATTTTTCGCTATATTCGATGACCTATATCTCAGCGATACGTTATCAAATTTCGAAAATATTATACGTAACTCAGTTTTGAACCATGCCCAGTCTGCCTACAAATTTTCAGAAAAATCGAAGGGGATGACGGATTTCGGTGTTTGATTTGACGTGGAATGCCCCCACTATCACTTTGCCGACTAACTTCAACTCGTACCACTCATTTGGTGGCCGTTACTCGGTGTGCACTGTGCTTCCACTTGCGCAACTCGGCACGGTGTCCCTTAGTGTCAACGTGTGACGCCCACAATTCCTTTACGGTGACAAGTCAATGATATCTTCTAGATATTCGATAAGGGGCCAAACACCCCGCTAAGCCTCCTTTCGAGCTTGCCTTTTCTCTGCAGTGTCAGCAAATGGGGGATACATCTTGCAGAGATCTTAAACATAGCATGATAGATTCCAGTGGC